ACACCTGGCAATATTGTTGCTTGTGGCTAACAATGGTGTTGGCAATCACGACGTCGTATTTCACCACTGGTTTAGTTGGGGGCCGAGGTAAGCATTGAGCTGCGTTTTCACTTAGGAAGGCTGCCATATTCTCCATCTGGCTCAAGAATGACATTGCTTTCCAAAAAAAAAATGCTGGTAATGATAGATTTTTTTAAATCGAGCGTCTTGAATAACAGGCGAAATGTTCCGAACGTTCGGCACATATCTTTTTCAAGGGCTAGGTAAAGGTGTTAAGGAAAAATTATAAAAAGCATCGGTGCTAGTATGCAACCTTTTACCTGTATAAAAATCGATGTATTTTTATCCAACCATAGAATTCCGGCCAGTTCACCAAACGAACCTCTAACCCGGCGACCGTTACGGTCACAAGTCTCCTCTAGACACCATCCTCCACCCAGCACTGTGGTCGCCGCCGCCGTCCATCCGCGGCCAGTTGGCGGTGGCGAAATGCGGCCAATGTTCCATGACCGACCCGTCGCCTCAGGACATAGGGGCGACACGGCGGCTGCTGTGCACGATTTGCACACGCCATATCGAGCGGCGGCTCGGCTGCAGTTGGCCCGCGGTCAATATAGCAGCCGTCAGCTATGTCCTGTGAAGAGTTCGCCACGGCATCAAATGTCGCGCGGCGCTAACCGACCGAGACGGCCGGGTAAATGGAACCCTGGCCAGTCGATTAATCGATGGCAGTCCATACAGCCGGCCGTGGCTCGTATAGCGGTGATGGAGCCGGCATGGAGCGGACTGCAGGGATGACCGATAGGATAAATCGGTGACTTGTCAGATCACGGGCTGATGAAAATTGCGAACGAATTCAGCAAAATGATCGAGTGCATGAAGTCTCCTTTTCTTTCTCAAAATGAAGGAGTTGCGCCTTATATCTTCTCAGTCTGCAGTCCCACGCAGAGCAAAATCACAGCACCTATTGTAAAGCGGGACCCGGGTCCATCTTTCAGATACATTTCTCTCCTGTTTGCAATCACTTTGGAACAATTTCAATGACGCATCCACCTGATCGCAACATCAACCACTTTTCAAGACCTGGGCTCTCTGTGTGTCCCGTCTGAGAGTTCCTGTTCCCACCTGCACTGCAGCAACTGCAAGCTCTGGGGATGGGTGTGCTCTGCCGAATACCTATGTGTTTTATGCAACCGGAAGGGAGTTCTTTGGTGCGCAGAATAATAAGATGCGCCGAGCAGGATCCATGTGAAATATGCCTCGATGTAACGCAGGTACACTGTTTTGTGGTTAAGGATTATTTATGACCGGATTGTTTTATCTATATGGTTTTGCAGGCGTATTGAAAGCTATCCACCGAATGTTTCTCGATTTAGCTTGAACTACGCAATAAAACACGAAATGCCATAACTTATTTCATATTCCGTAAAGTCCTTATTCCATGGAGATGCAACATTGACATCGCCGATGCATAAATATAGCATTGTAAAATGTTAACTTAAATCCTAAGAGCTGACAGTTTTCCTGTACTAAAATCAGCACCAAGCCCCGACCCAAACTCAAAGCGTTCCGCCAAGGTCGCAAAGTAACTAGTTTCCCATTTGCTTGATGTTCCAACACCTTCTCAATGCTTACAAATAGCGCTTTATCCAACCAATGGCTGAAAAATGGGCTCCCAAGAGGTCATCTATTTTTCCATGTCAAATGCTGCAGCCCGACCAAGGTACTTCCGTCGGAGCTCGGAGCCTCTGCAGTTTGACTTGCAGAATGACAAATGTGCCGGCGATACGCAGCTAGCATTGATCGCGGAGGCTGTTGGGGAGTGGTGCCCCAGCGGCTACCTCGCCGCTCGGAGCCGCATTGTCCTCAGCCGACCGAGAGCGTCTCCGGGCCTGCTCTCCGCGCCGCAGCGTATCCTGTCCCGTCCTAAAGGTGCTGTGCCGAAAATGACAATTACGCGATTGGATAGCCTAATCCCGTTATGCGGCAGTGGGTCAGGCGTCACCTCTTCGTCTCGTTACCAATAACCCGTCATCAGGAGTCATGCCTGTTTTGTGCGCAGATTGCCTACATGGAGTAACCGGCCGACGCGAGATACAAAGCGGATGCATGATTCCGCAACGCCACGCCCGGCCGCCTTGATCTCCTTTCTCCGGGACTTTCCTGGCCGTGTGATTGGCGCGCGGGTCAGCGGGAGGTGCAGGGAGGGAGGGGGGTTGAGGGGGGAGGTCGCGGCCCTGCAGGGTTGGGCGCGGCTCGACGGGCCATCCCACGTCTGCCGCCCCCGCCAGGCCAGCCACAATGTGCAATATGCATACAATGTGTCCGGCCGGGGCGTCCGAGCTCACGCAGCCATTTGACGATTGACATGAGCTGTCGGCACGGAGGGTGCGGCTCTGAGATGAGAGGAAGAATGGAACATGCAACGGGCTCGGCCCGGCGCCATTCGCAGGTAAACATCAAAGTGTGACGCGTCAGATGGTCAGTCAAACAATTCGCAGTGACCTTTAGTCATGCAGCGCTAGATTCGCTTTGCATTTATAGTCACTGTCAACAAGTCAGATGCTGCAGTTGGTAAAGCACACCCAGCGGCCCGCGGCTATAACCGTATTTAGTGTGGCTAAAGCTCCAACCGCTCGCCCGCTCCACACTCAAGATGAGTCGACTCTGTTGTTGTTATTGCTTCATCCTGGCTGCTATCACTCTAAAGCCACGCGGCTTTGGAAATCTTAATGGCGGGTGACGGAAGCCATTTGGTATTCTGGCGCCAGTGTCGGGGTGGCGCCGCCGCGGTGGCCGCTGGGACCACACCTCTAAAGTGCAGCGCCGCTCTCCACTCTGAGCAGACTCAGTTCCGAGGCACGGTCAGGGGCGGGGACAATCCTGCACCAGCTGACTGTAATCTGTATAGATAGTGAATACGGCCGGGCATTTCCGCGCACCGTCTCCGCCCCGTGTCCGGCGGGGCGGGGCCACTCCCCTCCCCCCATGTCGTTTCCGTCTCCTCTGACACATCACTGGTCACACTATCCCCCTCGTGTCCCCCTCCCCCCTCCGGCTGAGGGTGGAAGCGGAGCCGAGTTCTCAGCCTTAGTGAGCGGCTCTCTCGCTCTGCTGCCGTCGGACAATGGTGACCGGGAGGAGCGGCCGGCGCCCCCGCCCTATGACACAGCCGACCACTCGGCCCGGCCCGCCCCAGTTGGGTAATCCGCCCGACCCACCGCGCCGGCCGCTCCGCCCTCCAGACGGCGGCGGGAGGTGACCGACAGCTGCCGATGGGTAACGTGTTAGCTGCCTCAGTGACTGTGTCTGGGCAAACCGGACCCATGGTCTGTGATTTTGTGCTGTCTGCGCTGTGGGCGATTTTGTGTTGCATGTAATATGGCTTGTTATGCATTGATAAAAAGGCATGAGTTTATTCTTAGGGGTTGTTGCAGAGGGCAGGCAGGTAGTCGTTCGTCACTAAAATGTGTGTAAAAATACTCTGGCACATACAGTTCAAGTTAGCTTTTAACTACATTTCAAGCATAAGTATCATGACGGTTCGCTGTTCTTCAGGATACAGGCTACAGTTCATGATGTCACCAGCCAATAGAGATGATACGCACTTAATTTGCGATCCTGCTGTCGGCATTTCAGCTGTAGCTCTCCTGTCAGAATGATGCGTGTTTGATGTGAAGAGCTTCGAAAATGGATTGGGTTCGGAGAAGACGCGTGTTTACGTCTCGTCAACAACTTTGATGCTGCCAAGAAAAGAATCCATTGAATGGAGGTAATACTAGAAAATCCATTTGAGTGCGCCGTTATTCAAAAAGAGCATGATAAAACCTCAAGCAATTCCCATTTTAAGCGGATAAGAAGCAATGGAACTCAGGAGCAATCAGAATTTTATCAAGGTACCGACTGCTTATTTGTCTCAAGAGTAGTGAAAATGAGCTTACTCGGCAAGGTATTGAAGGACACCATGCTCTGAATGGCGACAGTGGACGTTCGGTCACCAGCATTGTGTCATCTATGGGTTTCTTTATTCGTTAAATTATTTATCTGAAGGGTGACACTGGTTCCTTTTACACTTGAACACAACTTTGTCTTACGCCACACTCAGTGATGCATCAGTAGATCACAAACGCGCGTAATGGGTACATCATCCACCATCTGTTGTCCCCTGACTGTTGATCATCAAGGTCAACAGACTCCTGACCCGGAGCTGACTGACTGAAGAGAGTGGGTCTTCAGAAGCCTGCAGGTATCATTGGCAGCCTCTCGCCGAGTCATCGAGCACGGGAGCAGGCAAATTCCGCCTCGTCACCGGCCGCCTGTTGCGGAGAGGGGACCGGCTGAATTATTGTCGCTGACCTTGCCAGTGATATGTGCGCCGCCTTCTAACGCGCCGCTGACCAGCCCGAGGTCCGCACAATCAGCATGCAGCGGCTGGACGGAACCCATGCGAGGATTAGCGAACACTTCCGTCCAGTGGTGGTGCATGCAGCCGGCACACGCTGTTGGGGAGGTGTGAGCGTAGCGCGCCACTCTGCCGTGCCGTGTCGTGTCTAGTCAGGCGCTTGATGTGCGACATGGACCTGAACAGGCTGAGGCAGATTACAGGCGCGCCGCTGCGCCGGTGTCCTCCACGGGACCATCTCGGCGCCATGTCGAGCGTTCATGAAAAGTCTGATAGAATTTGTGGGCGGTAATCGCTGTAAATGTACACTAAGTTTGTTCCGTGTCTAGATAACTGTGATGTTAGATGCTGCTTTCAATATTTATTGTTTTAGCTTTGTTTCCAACACGTTTGAGTGAGCGTCGAAATGTCCCTTCACCGCCGGGAACGATATCAACGGTCCAGGCATCCAGCCAAGCCCCGACGCTCTGTGAGCCAATTTCGAGACGGGGCATATGCAGCGATAGCGGAGCCTATGTTATCAAGAGCCAACGGATTTCGAGCGTGAAATATGAATGTCACAGGCACATTACGTAGCGTGTGTGATTCAACTTGCTGGATTGAATAGCCGGCTACACAGAGGCATTTATTCGAAAACTCCAGGATGTTCAACTTTACAGGGAGATTACATAGGCATATGAATGATGTGAGGAACATAAATGCACACTAAGCAGAGCTTGGCTAGTATAGCAGGAATAGACGTCAAAGTTTAGCTACTGGCACGCACAAGATATATACTCTGGATTGCGCTTCTCAGAAGCTCACTCAGAACAACCTCTCGTTATCGCTCCGGTCACACCCTGTCTGTATGTCTGTCTGTCTGTTTGCCTTTGGCCGCCACTACACCTCGGTTTCTCGGCTGGGTCGGGAGGCTCGCTCGCAGACCCGGCCGTCGACAGGTCTGCCGTGTACAGCGGCTGTGCCGCCACCCGCGCCTGGCACAGATCTCTGAGCCGCCGCAGCTGATGCCCTGGCACCCTGTGACGGCCTCTGAGTCGAGGTACCGGTGTCAGTCGAGGGTAGACGCTGCAGGTGTGGGTGGTTCGTCTCCTGATACGTCTGGTGAATATCTTCCCGAAAAGTGTTCGGTGCGGCGCTGGAGAGTGTCGCTGAAGACCTGGACAAACTCTCTCGGTGATCGCATCCCTTCGTTGGCGAAAAAGCGCTATTGGTGCCCGAGTTACCGCACCCTCCGCCTTCCCGACTACGGCTTCCGCATCCGTCATGACCCTGACATTGACAGGGGCGATACTCTTTACCAGGGACTCTACTCTCCGGGACCGCATCCCGAAGTTGTCCTTCTGCCGCACCACCGACCTCTCTGCACTCCTCGGGGGCACGTCCGTCCTCCTCCAGTGGCGGGCCCGCTCCGTCTCGCTCCGCGCGCTCCGTCTGTCCTGCAGAGGCGATCCCCGTGTGCTGCGAGTGAGCGTGGCCGCCCGGCGCCGCCCCCGGCCCGGCCGGCCACTGCTCCAGTCATAGCACCGTGTCCAGCATGTGCAGCGAGCGCAGGAAGTCTGGGTCGCGACCACACCAGCGTCTCATCTCCTCCAGGGTGACCAGGCCGTCCCGGTCGGCGTCCATTTGCTGCGGGACACACCGGCACACAGTCAGATGGGTTCAGCACTGAGACAAAGTCAGCAGTCAAACCACAAGGTCGGCGTCCACCTGCTGCACGGGACCGGAGCACAGTCAGATGTTAGAACACAGTCAGTGGCACATAACATAATCAGTTTCAGCACACAGTGAGAGGTCCACAGTCAGCTGTCAGAGACCCAGTCATCGGCAGACAGTCAGCATGGTCAGCACATCACACAGCAGCACACAGTCAGAAGTCAGTGTCACAGAGTCAACGACAGAGTCAGTCGTAAGTGGTACATAATCAATGACACACACTGTCAGCATAGTTAGCACTCAATCAGTAGTCACCACACATTCAACGTGCGGTCAGCGTGGTCATCCCAATTCGCTGGATCACCATTCTTGATGCATAGAACCGCCAGGCATTTCACGGTAGTCAAAGTCCCCCCCCCCCCGAAAGTCATCAATGGAGTAAGAGCAAGTTTTTTTTCAGAAGTCGTCACGAGCCACGTTATCACGGTGGAAGAGGCGCAACCTACGATGTTATCTATGAGTCACAGAGTCATATGACGGTGTCGTGACTCACAGCTCTCGGTCAGAGTCACGGTCGTGCTGGTGCAATGGGCTTTATGAGTCATGGGTGACACTGACTCGAGCCGTAGGAGATATAACTTGGATTGCAATTGCGTGAGCCAAACTCAGCCAACCACCGCTGTTGGAGGAAATATGTAGATAGTACGGACTTTCGAATAAGAAAATATTCCCCATTAAGTTTTAGTGGCTTACATTATCAATGGACAGCTAGAAATGGCTTAATCAACGCAATGCTTGAACGACACGTTCGCCATTTACATATAGCCTACGTAACGGCTGTTTTGCAGCCGCTGGTAATTTTTTATAAGCATACACTTTTAAGTTTTTTTCTGGTGAATAATATTAGATTTAGCTAACGCCAACACCTTCTCACATTACGGTAGCTTTCAGTAATTTCTCTGTTTCGTTTAGCGGCGGATTTAAAGCGGGTTTAAACGCGGGGCTCAAAACGCATTGATAAAAAACAGCCATGAAAGATAGTGTGAAACGAATGTATAAGCCAAAAGGACGCCTTGAGTTGGCTAGAGTTTTTGACTTCTGACGTCACTGTGACGTCATTTCAAATGGGATCGACACCAAATTTGGACACAATCTTGGCTAGGTGTTCAGAAAGATGTGTGCAAAGCTTCGCTTCTCTATCTCTTCGCGTTGCGACGATATCGTCGCAGAAGTAAAGAGGGGCAACTATATATATGCCCCCCCCCCCCCCTCCCAGCGGCCGGCGGGTTGCGCAGAGGCCCTGCAGCGGCCGCCGGGTTAACCCGCGCCCTGCTGGGGGGGGGGTGTTTGAACACCCCCCCCTTGTGGTTTTTCGCGAATATCTCAAAAAAGGCGGCGCGGAGCGCCGCCGTTTTTGGTACACCTTATCATACATCAATTCTACACATGTTGTTAAAATTTCAGACCAAGGTCAATCAAGGTCAGGTCACCAGGTCACTTGAAGTGACCTCACCTCATAAAAAGTTTCAATGTCTGTCATAGCTACACCGAGTGACCGATCGCTTTGAAACTTTCAGCGATTGCTAAGAGCAATAGCATGTACAAAATGTATATCTCAGAATTTCGATATCGATGACCTAAGGTCAGGTCAATTTTGCGACCTCCCCATTATAAGTCAATGGGAGAAAATTGAAATGCGCCTCTTTTGGACGAAAGACATTATAAACACTCCCAAACACCGAATTACAAGTGGTTTAGACACACAGAACATGAAAATGGTGTCCGTGACCCTTGTTTATGCCCTGAGGTCATCTTAGGTCACGAATGGTATCTAACAGTTTTTCGCAAATAACTTTTGATAGAGGCATGCTAGAGCGATGAAAACGCCTTAGATGTGTTCAGCTCGACGATACGGATCGACTGATATGCAACATGACCCTTTCCGGTCAGGTCATGACCTTGACCTGAGGTCAAATTTTCAAGTTGACCTTTCAAGGTCAACTTATAGTTCATTCGATGCGTCTTGACGAGAGGAACACGATGCCGGTAAAAGTAAGCTCGTACAAGGCTTGGGTCAAAAGTTATTGCAGAAAAACTATTGCCGAAAAAATCGGCTATTTTTGCAGTTTTTGCCCCCTGCAGGCAAAACCGTTGACGTTAGGTCAAATCTGAGAGAATTACTCAGAAAGGGCGTTAATAGGGCTATCGAATGCGCTTTTCCGCGGCGCTGTAGCTCTATTGGTTCCCGAGTTATGCGTTAGCTTCTTAGAAATTTTCGACATTCGACCTGGAAATCGGCGAAATTTTGCCTTCTATGACCTCTGGTGACCTGACCTTTGACCTGACCAAAAAATTGACTGAAGTGATTTCCTCATTATTTTTGACGCTCTTTCGAACGCCGCCTTCCGCGTATCGCTACGTGGTCCAGGAGCCGAGTTACAAGGGGGGGGGTGTTCAAACACCCCCCCCCCCAGCAGGGCGTGGAAATCCAGGACCCCCAGCCGGGCGCGGGTTAAAGGGATATGTTCATGTCTAACATGGGGAATGGAGTTGAGATAGCAGTTTTGCTCGTTATACGCTAAAACCACATAATCCGGAGCCATTCGACTCGAAAATATAAATTGACAGCGCTAGAGAGCAATTTCGACATGGTCTTTACCAGATCGCCAAGGTCTTTACCAGACATGACCAGAGGTGTATGACGTCAGCAAAAAAAACTAGATTTCAAGCTAACGGGGACAGATTCGCCTAATGGATTGGCGTTTTTTAAAATTGTGTTCAAAATTGTCCGCAAGCAGGATGTTGAGACGACACGCGGGCAGATGCATGGCGTGAATCGTCGTAAAGCTCTTCAGAATGCTTGCTTCTGATTGGGTAATCTTCTTTGACATTTCAAGCTGAGAACTCAACAACGCTTTCCTCATACATTTTGCGCGTTTTTTTTTTTTTTTTGCTGGTTGTCAAGGCAAATAAACAAAAAACCAAGATACCAATAAGAAACCGAAAAATCATTTACGTGGTTACGGAAACAGTCCAGTTGTTATCTTTAAAAAAAAAGTTCCTGATGAGCTCGCGTGCAGTGTGATATTTGTAATCATATCCTATAAAAGGTGAAAGTTGAGCACTGCGGAATGCAGCATGCCACAGTTGCAGAATGCCTACATATGTCAGTGGAGACTAAGCAGACCGCCGCGGCATACCCAACACGAGCCCCCCTCAGCAGGCGCGTGTTTTGTAAGGGGAGCAGCGGCAGCTGGTTCGCTGCAGTGTGGGTCCCGGCCCAGCCTCAGCAGCAGCTCTGCTCAGCACCTCAGCTCCGACCCCAGCCTCGGCACCAGCTCAGCCCGACCTCACGGCTCCGATGGCCCTATCGGCGCTGATCCTTTGTTGCGCCTGCCTGGCTGGTGAGTGACTTATATAGTTTGCTGCCAATGCGGAGCAATGCCGAACGTTAACCCTCGCACGACCAGGCCATTTCTCATAACACGAACGACCAGGGGGGGGGGGTTGTTACGACCCCCCCTGGCGTTTCGAAACGGAAGGTCGTAGAGCTTAGCGGAAAAAACCAACGGATTGCTCTCAACGAGATCTCGCGATTGGTGGTATATTTTTTGGTCCTAGGTCAACATTTGACCTACTTATGACCGGTCAAAGGTCAAATTTTCCGAAAAAATCAAACTTTTTCAACTTTCCGCGGCGATTGCGGCAAAACGGTGGGAGATATCGACTTGAAACCTTCACTATCGTGTTCCTTGATCAATTCTCTATCGTTTGGTATGTATTTCGTTTCCCTAGCTCTAAAAATGGCGCGTTGGGAGCGCCGGAAGTCGGCAAGGTCACAGTCGGCGGCAGAAATTCGAAAAATCAAAATTTAAATTTTTGAAATCTGATTGTATTTTTGGATTTGGGAGGTCCATTTGCTCCCTATAGAAGCTAATATTGCTGCATATTCCCATTGAGGTGACAAGAATTAGCAAAATAGTGGTTCGGGCGCTTTTCAAAAATAGTACCGGACGCTGTTCCTCTTGTGACGTCATAGCTCCGTGACCTGACCTGACCCGGTCAATTTTCTTGCACCACACGATAGCCAATGCTTGCCCCAACATGCATGGGAAGTTTCATCATGATCCATCAAACAATGTGGGTATCACCGGCAGAAAACCTAGGGATTCGGCGCACACGTTTGGTAACTGTCGGCCGGAGGCTGTACCTCTTATGACGTCATAACTCCGTGACCTGACATGACCCGATCAATTTTTTTTCGGCAAAAGATGCGCAAAGGTTGCCCCAGAGGGTATTGAAAATTTCAGCCCGCTACGACAAGCCGTTTAGCGTGCACTTCGAAAAAACCTCAGGGGGGGTTGATACAACCCCCCCCCCCCCTAGGCGTTCTAGGGTTAAAGGGACCTTCCCACCTTCAAAAAAGTTAATGGGAATAGCTCACTTTCCTGAAATTCTTTTTTTTACAATGGATTTATGATTTTTTCTGCTAAAATTATCGGAAAATAAAACAAAACTTTTTATTAGACGGATTATTTTCTATATTCTAATATAGGAAGAACTATATTCTTGTCTGAATTGCTGTTAGCACTGTTTTGAGAGACATGCTTAAACATATATCAAGTAAAGTAACCGTACTCTTATAGTTTATATCGAAAATCGTAAGAAAAAGGCCTGATAATTCCGAGGAGCTTTCGGCTTACGCCTTCTTCAACTCGCTCTACTTTATTTTCCTTTTTAAATGTGTTTGCGCCAAAAAGGAAAATAAAGTAGAGCGAGTTGAAGAAGGTGTAATCCGAAAGCTCCTCGGAATTATAAGACTTTTTATCAGATCATTATCTAAGAACTATATTCCATATAAAATAACGTTTGACGCGGAAGCTTATTAGGAGTGTTGGCCAATGATATTACGTATTTCAAACATACGCATGCTGTAAGTACCTATTGGCTGTGAGCAGCATGATGATTGCCAATTGGCTGACAATGACGTGGCTGCATTCCTCAGCAAGGCACTCTTTACGGAACGAAAAAATTAATATCTTCGTCTACGGTGATCGTTGGGCCGTAAAAGCTTCTGATTTGTGCTAGTTTCAGCTCTACATCTTTTCACTCTCTATTTAAAAAAGCTGAAGTTCGAATTAAAAAGCTGTATTGCAAATTAAAAAGCTGTGATGCAAATTAAAAAGCTGTGATATAATTTAAAAATGATGCGATGCAATTGAAAAAAGATGAAATTCGAATTTAAAAAAAGCCGAAGATCGTATAAAAAAACCAAGTAAAAATACGGATTCGGGTTGCGAATAAGGCTGTATTGTGTGAATGTAGGTACCTAATTCACGTAGTTATGTACCTATACTTTCGTTTTGTGCCCCCTTCACAAAAATGTCGTTCACGTCTCAAAATCTGTATTCAATACATACAAGTATGCCTATGTATGAAGGTAAACAAAACACGAAATGGTGCAGCAGACCTGCAACATTGAAAACCTGCGGAACCTGATAACGCAATATTGCCATCATGCACACGCACGGCCAAGAACTTCTGCACTCAGTCTCAGTCACGCATGTGTTATGTCATGCATCATGCATGTGCTACTACGTATGTTGAGTTCCACACTTCATCCCCGTAGCAAGATCTTCCAGGGCCATGCATCGCGGGAAGTGCCGCTGCACACGGTTGCAGCACCCGCATGTTCTATGGGTTCCGTATCAGTATCGGCAAAATCAGACATGTTATCTCGTAGGTATATCTACGAAATAATACATGACAGCAGGCGTTGAAACTTTTTGTTCTTACTCCAATACCAGCTTCAGTGAAACTGCTCCAAATTGCTCGGGTGATTATCTTCCTCAATTGCGTAGGTATTGTTGATTACATATGTTACGGGTCATATGCTAACTTGGGCAGTATGCAAACTGCCCGGGCAGTATGCAAACTACCCAACAACCCGGGCAGTATGCATACCGCCCGGGTAGTATGCATACTACCCGACCCCTTGGGCAGTATGCATACCGCCCAAAAGCTTGGGCAGTTTGCATACTGCCCGCCTCTCGTCTTGAAGTTGTGTATTCCATGTCCATTTTAAAAATAAAAATGGATCTCTAAGGAAAATAGCTTAACTACGAAGTCTGTTTTGCCGTCAAGTGCGTTTTATCGATTGAAGGATGGAATAAGAATTAGAATATACAGACTTAAATTTTTCACCCGAATTTCATTGTTTATTAGCCAGCGGCCAACAAGTCATTTTCATCTGAAATGACGACAGATCTATAGCATCATCACTCGATGGCTTTGGTTTGGCATCTGGACCTGTAGAGGGCGTAAGTACAGTTTCAATAGCTAATGCTGCATGAAACCATTTGCATGTAAGGCGTAACAACTAACAAGTTATGGTCAGGTAACTGCAGGGCAGATCAAGTGAGTTGACCTTACCTCAGAAAAGGTTTGAACTTGTTCGCCATAGTTACCCCGACTGAACGATCGCTTTGAAACTTTCAGCGATCAAAAGCAGTAAAAGCATGTATAAAATACATGCATTGGAACTTTGATGTCGCAACCGATGACCTAAGGTCAGGCCAATTTTGCAGTCTCTTAGAAGTTGACAGGAGAAAGTTGAAAGACGCCTTTTTGGATAAACGCCCTTCTAAACGGTCTCAAATATCGGGTTCCATGTGAACACAACACACTGAATCGGCAAATTGCACTTGCGGTGACCCCTCTTTATGACCATGAGGTCATGTCAGGTCATAACAGATCTGCAGTAGTTTTTCTACGATTACCTACTTTTTATGGAGACGTATTCGAGCAATGGAAATAACCTTAGATGTCTTTAAGTCGACGATAAGGATCGTCTGATAACCAACATGACCTTTTCATGTCAGGCCATGACCTTGACCTTAGGTCAAATTTCAAAGTGGTCTTAAAAACCAAATTATAGTTAACTCGACGCGTCTCGACGAGAGGAATATGATGTCGGCAAACGCAATGTCGTGCCTATCTAAGGTAAACTAATTTTGCCGTAAAATATATAAATCGTCAAAACAGCTATTTTAGGCGTTGTTGCCCTCTGGACGCTACACCGTTGAGCTTAGGTCAACTTTGAGGGCTTATTCCAGAAAGCGTTAGAAGAGCTACTGAATGCGTATCTCTGCGGTGCTTTAGCTCTATTAGTTTCCGAGCTTGTGGGCCGATTTGTAAAAAAGTTAAAAAGGTGAAAATTGACCTTTGATGACCTCTGGTGACCTGATCTTTGGTGTGACCTAAAACATAACTGGAGTTTTTTTCCATGATTTGTTATGTTATTTAGAATGCCGCTTACCGCATCTTACATGCAGCTTACTCCTGTGCCGCTAAGTGACACAGGAGTCGAGTTAGGGTGTTCAATCCCCCTCCTAAAAAAACCGGCACGGCTGGTGCCGAGCGCGGCCCCGCGCGGGTTAAAAAGTCTGCCATTGACATAGTATGCAAGCTATTGCATTAAAGGGAGATAATGACCTTTTTCCACAAAATCTGAGTTAGGACCATTTTCTGACAAAACACAACAAGTTATAATGTAAATTAAAACCATTTTGCTCAATTCGGTACCTTGCCGCAAATATCTCAACTTGAAGTCACGTTAGCGGGGAGCGCTGAAAATGACCGTTGAATAAGTACTTACATCACTTTTTGGTACTTGCATGTAATTTTGTAAAATGAGCGTATTCCTTACATTTGATCTTCATCACATCTAGTTAGTTAAAGGAAGGGTGCCACCTTTTGGACACAACGCAGTTTTTACAAGATTAGCCTCACATGAACCTAAAAACCGGCTTCACTTACCTATGCTCGAGACGGTCAGCATTGAATCCGCACGTGAAGTTATCATTTGCGAGTTTTGCTGCCAGCATTCGGGCAGGCAAAAATCTTCAGCACTATTTCCTCGTCGTGTTAAGGGTATTTTATAAAACATGAAATCAGCAAAGGTATGTATAAAAGTTATACTTTTGAAGCATGTTTTATCATTTTGAAAGGGTATATTTTTTCTTTATGGTATACACTTAAGTTTTAAAATTTTAATTGGGAAGTTTTTCTAGTAAGTTGCATGCGGGTGAAGGGTTCCATAGATCTCTTAAGCATTGTAAAGGAAAAACCTTTACTCGACTTATTTGATGTTCTTTAACTGTTGGCAAATATGGCCAACAGTTACCTACTTGGTTACCTACAACTTAGTTCAAATCATGTTATCTTCTTCCTTTTTATTTGTTCATCTTTTTGTCTCAGTTGCGCCATCAATGCAAATGGCAGAATGATATGTTGCCATGACAACAGGATATGCCAGCCGTCCTAGCTGCCACATCAAACGACCTTGAGTTGTAGTGGTGATATAAACAACGATCTTTTTTTTTTGGCCAATGTATTAAATGCA